CTTTAGAGAGGTGATTAAATGAAAATGGGATTGTTAGGATGGACCCTGATCCAATCTGGTGGGTATCTCTATAAGAAGAGGAGATTTAGACACACAGAGACATCAGGGATGAACATGCAGAAGAAAGAGTCAAATCACAAAGCCACAGTTAGTGCTGTGGACTACGGAAGGCCATCCAAGGAGCCCTACACAGAGCTGGCCATGAAGCAGAGAGAGGAGGGGGTGCAAGGTGGGGAGGCATAGAGTGGCCAGAGCATAGGACGGAGAGGTAGAACAAAGGACTGCAAGAACCGTAACAAAGAGGGCAGGGGTAGAGCAGGCAGGATCATGAAGACCTGCCAATGCATCCTATACATTATGGTTTGGGATGCTCTCTAGGGCTGGGGCTGGCCTTGAAAGAGATATGAGCCTAACAGTTACAAGGTCATGTCCTTGAGGCAGGAACCAGGCCTCTTTCTTCTAGCATTTTTCCCTGTGGGTGCTCACATGAGGCCAGGCACAGAGAATGTGCTCAAATGTTGTCCACACACCATTCCGTGTGTTAGGAGCTTATTTCCAAAGAGCTTGGCTTTAGCTGCCATAATGCCATCTTTGTGAAATGAGATAGGAGATGGTGTCCTTCTCCCTCTTTGTAACTAGAAGGAATCTCCATTGCTTCTGACAATTTCCTTTGAAATCATTTCAAATCTGAGACTCTGTATGTGGTGTTAGTAATCATGGATGCAGAGAAAGTAGGTGGCCGATCGGGGTACCATGGCAATCTCACCTTTTCCCGTACTCAACCTCTGGGACTGAGGCTAGTGTCTAAATCAGACTTTTCTCTGCTCCAATGAGCCAGTCTGTTTCTAGTCCCACTGTCTTAGTGGCAGAGCTGGAGGGACACTGGAACTGCATTTAATTCCTCCTGTCCTCTGCGCATTGCTTAAGCTCTGCTTTTGTCCCAAATGCAGCATAGAAAAGAGAAAGAGGCCTCTGTAACAGACAGAATTCTCCAGAGAAATTAAAACAATAGGGTGTATCCATATCCATATCCGTGTGTATCCACACACACACACACATAAAAATAGGTACATGCAATTGTGGGAGTAGGCAAGTCTGAAATCCACAGGGCAGGATGGCAGCCTGGAAACTCAAGCAGGAATTGATGTCACAGTCTTGAGGCAGAACTTCTTCAGGAAACCTGTTATGCTCTTAAGGCCTTGAACTGATTGGATGAGGCTCACCCACACTACAGAGAGTAAACTGCTTTACTCAGTCTACAATTGAAGATGTTAATCATATCTACAAAATACGTTCACAGCAGCATCTAGATTAGTGTTTGATTAAATACCTGGATCCCACAACCCAGCCACGGTGACACAGCAAAATGACTACCAGTCTCCACCTCTTCCAAGCCCACCTAGTGCAATGCTGGGTGCTCCTAAGTCAAGAGTCTTTCCCTTCGCTCACACTATGTTTCTCCAGGGTAGATTCTGAGTTTTCTCTCAGAAAGATGACATTTAGGAGGCAGCTGTTGATGCCACTTGACAAGGTCCCACATGGATCCAGGGCTTTTCCAAAGCAGAGGAAAAAGGCTTTGGAAAATGAATCGTCACACAACACAAAAGAAGACACTTTCCATGTCAACTCTAAACAATATTCCTTTCTTATATATGTTTAGAAGCGCTATGTAAAGTGGGAGAACACTTACCTGTTTTTTTAAGAGAAGGGGCAGAGAGAAGAGGCTATGTTCTTTCATCGTGAAGAGGCACATGTTGTTGGGTAAGGGCTGTAACTGCCCTGAGTGACCTGACGTGACCAGGATGTCAGCAGGGCCTCCCAGAAACAGCCTGACTGACTCTGCTCAGATGAAGATGGTTAGAGTCAGCACTGACAAATGCATACAGGATCAAGTAAAGCACATCAACGGGAATAGTTAAAAATGCTGTCTTATATTGAGGTCCGATCTCTATGCACCACCTCACCCCACCCTCTTTTCCTGTCTAAAATTTTGTTTTTGAGTGCTTGTATCTGTGAGAACTGGAAAAGTCTGTTAATTCCTCTGTAAGGTAGAGTATACATACATGCATTTTATATTTTTTTCTTTTCACATACAATGTCTATATGGAAATTTAAATAGAAATTGTGAAGAAGGCAAAGAGCTGGGTTTTTGTTATCTTTAGGGTAATGGTTCCCAAGCGTGTCTTCAGTATCACCTGGGAACTTGTTAAAAAAGCAAATTCTCAGGCCTGGGCCAAAATTCAAAACTCTGGGTGGGGCCTTGTAGTCTGTTTTCTAAGACCTCTGATTGACTCTGATAGGTGCAGAATTTAAGAACCACTGATGAAGAGAAATGGCTCATGTTGGCCTTTGTACGCTTGGAGGCCTAAGCTGAACAGGCTTAAAAATAAAGAGGATATGGGGGTGGCTCCATAGTGTAGTGGTTAGCACATCTGCTTTACATGCAGACAGTCCTGGATTTGCGCCCCAGGTGGAGCCATGGACCATACCCTGGGTGCACCAGGGCCCGGGTGCGCCTGGCCCCGGGGGGGTTCCGGCCCCGGGTGCACGCCCCGAGTGTGTGGGAGGAGACGCTCAGAGATCCAGTTCTTAAGGAGAAACGGCAACATCCATAGGTTAGGGGTGGAAGTGGGAGTGTATGTGGGGGAATTAAAGGAGGGAAAAAAAAATAAAGAGGATTTGTGATCCAGAGACGCTGGAGATAGGGTAGGTTGAAGGTTAGGTGAGACTCCAGGTTTTCAAGGACAAGGCGTCATTTGATCTCACTGCTCCTGCTCTTTATGGCCTTGGCTTCATAGTAGTAATATGGCTGCTTCTGCTTTAGAGATCACAACACATTACTCCACATAATCCATGGGGCAGGGAGTACTGCTGTCCCAGTAGGCCAGGCCTCAGTCTTCGGATTCTCCTAGGTTGAGTCTGATTAGGTCACATGCCTACCTCTGAACCAATGACTAAGGGCAATAGGCCACAACCCAGAGCCTGTGTGTGGGACAGATGGATACCCAATAGAATTCAGGGTGCTGTTGGGAAGGGAGAAGAGACAGCAGACACTAGTAGGATGACCAACTCATCTCAATGCCTGGCATCTTGCCAGTTTTAGCACTGAAAGTCCTGTATTCCAGAAACCTCTCAGTCCTGGCAAACCTGGATGATTGCTTATGCCAGCTGATAGGTAGGCCAGCGTCCAACCACTGAGGCAATATCCGGACCTAGGAATCCAAATCTCTGCAAGGGGCTGCATTTTGACAGCTCTCAGGGTGTACCCAAGAGAGTTTGAGAATGTTTACTCTTCTTTTCTAGCATGTAGAAATTTACTTCTTTCTTTCTTGGCATTTACATAAAATGCTCAAGTTCACTTAAGCACCAGCCAAGGATGTATGCAAACACATTTGCAGTTGGACCATGAGTCCTTTTTCATGAAAAGCTCTGCTGTGAAACTCCACTGGAACAGAGCAGAAATATGTGTTTCTTTATAGCAGGGTGATGTGAAGTATAAAGAGGGGGAATGTGGAGACAAGACAGACCTGCACTGGAAACACAAGGGTGACACATTGGGGAAACTTTCTTAGCCTCTGCGAGCTTGATAACTCATCTAAAAAAGTGGGTTAATAATCCTCAACAGGGCAATTATGGGGTTTTAGCAAGGTCACGAATGAAGAAGGCCTGGAGCACAAAGTCAGGAACCCAGTGAATCCTCCCCTGCTCAAAGCCTTGGCATGATGCTGTCAGAGCTCTTTAAGTGTAGACCCATCAACACTGGAGAAGCATATTCAGGATGATGCAGAAGAGAATATTTCTTTGTATAAATATTCATCAGTATATTACTGAGGATGACTGGAAATGGATATAAAATGTATGTCCTTCTTCTTTAAGAATTGTTAACATTAATGATTTTCTTTCTTCTTCACGCTAAAGCTGAAAATTAAGTCTGTCCCTTTTGTCAGAGAGCTCCTCACTGTAATGGGTGTTAATGACACCCTCAATGAGAGGAGTTGTAGAATGACAGATGAGAGCTAGGAGGTGGGGTGTGGTGGAAGCAGGGGCAGCTCTATCAGGAGCCACTGCTCATGGGGTCAGATTTGAGTGGTATCCAGAAGTATTTCTAGCTCTGAAAAACTCTCTTCCTCTTGAACTGATAAGGCCTGGACCTTCTCTATCCATCAGGCCAACTGGGGGACATCGGGACTCTTTCGGTGAATGTCCGGGCATTCCAAGGCAGTACTTCTCCAATCTGAGGAACTCATCAACACATTTAAAAGATAGAGCTAAAAGCCAACCAAGACTATTGTGTTCCAAATGATGTGTCATTTTGCCTAAATTCACAGTGTTGTATTATAATTAAGTTGTGCCACCCAGCTTTATGTTTCAAGGATAACCCAGTTACCAAAGAAACCCATTCTTGATATAAAATGCCATTTGTTAGGGAAACCCTAAAAGGAAGTTGTTTCAGGGACCTTAAACAAAGCATACTATTAGAGTCTTATTTTTCTGGTAGGAGATTTTGTGTTCTGTTCAGATAAGAATGGGAAGAGTGATAGAATTCTAAGATGGTCCCCTAAGGGTCATGTCCATGAATGATCACCTTGTTTTGACTGTTGGTGGGACCTGTAAATATGATTTTACTCTCATAATTAGATTATGCTATAGATAAAGGTATTTCACAGATATAATCAAACCAACGATTATTCTGGGTGGGCCTGGTCTAATCAGGCAAGTCCTTCAAAAGAGGTTCTAGAGATCAGAGATGAAAGCAGCAGCAGCAATCTTATGTTGGCCTTAAAGAAACAAACTTCCATATGTGGAGAGGGCTACATGGTAGGGAGTTGCAGACGGCTTCTGGGACCCAGTGTTTCAGTCCTCTAGCAGCACAAAACTGAATTCTGTCAATGAGCTTGAAAGAGGACCCAGGTCCCAAATGAGATTGATGCTTTGGCCAACACCTTGATTGCAGAATACAGCAAATATGATGTGAGGGTGATCTTTATTTTAAGTGGAGCTCAGTGGCGAGGTGACTCTTGTCTGGAAGAGGGCCGAGGAAGCCTGAACTTCGAGAGGTTCAGGTTCAGGTCTAAGAAGGTGTACCCGGTGTAGTCATGATGTTGGAGGTTCTTGTAGGTGGTGTTGTCAGAAGGCTCGGTGGACATGGTGGCTCCTGTGGGATCTTTTGGTAGACTTTGCTTTTTGGGATTTGGTGGCAGTCCCTTGTTACTCTTTCCTGATTTTGCGGAGAGAGAAACTGCAGGAGCAAGTCTTTGAAACACTGGTCCTTCTAGGAGCATAGTCTTTAGCACTCGTCCTTGCCACAACAGGGGGGCCACCAGGGAAGGGAAAAACTCAGGGAAGAAATGGCCAGTTGGTAAACAGAAGTGAAAGGGCACATAGAGAGGTCAGAAATTCCTGGGTTTTCTGGGTTTGAAAATGACACTATTGCTCATGCTTAGCCTCTCCATTCAGGAAAAGGTTCTCGAAGTAAGACACAGCCTTGTTAAGACTTCTAAAATCATTAAGGTGGCACTTCATAGAGCTCCTCAGCTTGTCAAAGGGGCCCTAGAATGATTAAGTGCTTGGGCTCATCTGAGCCCAATGCTTCCAAAGTGCCCATAATGAAGTCAAGAGAGCAAGGCATACCTCAGCAGAAAATTGTGGATGTGGTTGTTGGTATATTAAGGTACCCAGAATCAAATACATAGAAACCCATGTTTGGAAGAACTCAGTTGGCAAAAATGCTGCCAGCCTGATCTAAAAGGGATGGAGACTGATTGTTTAAGATGCAAAAAGAATTCTGGGGCCCCAGCTCTCTCAGGCTAGGCAGGTTTTTCAGGAATGTAAGAGAGCAGATTCTTTAGTGCTCTCAGCACATGAAGTCATTGGAGAATGATAGAAAACGAAGGGCCTTCTCCAGAGTGGATCCAAGAGTCATAGAAAATGATGGACAGGGGACTATTCCCAGGATATAGACCCAGAGCCTTATCAAAAGAAAATCTATACCCTCAGGTAAGAGTCCTGGCAATATTTTCTCAGTAGCATTTCAAATTTCTCTGATCAGTTGTAATCCATGGGCTCTGAATAAAGAGGAGACATGTGGATCTGATGTAACCATGAGATCCTGGACCTCAAGCCTGATTGGGCGAAGCTTTTGGGTGTCTTGGCAAAGGCTTGGGTGGGCTTAGCATGTGCAAAGGAAGTGATAGGGCAGACCATGTCAGTTTCAATTACTATTCAGCAAATATTTGCCCCCACCCTGTACTAGAGACAGAATATGTTTCATAGCTTCTTGGAAGTATGTTGAGCTTGGCCATGTGACTAGTGTTGTCCAATGGAATGTTAGTAGATAAAAGATGAGCAAAGGCTTGAAATGTGCTTGTGGTGTTGGGTTTGTCTTTTTGCCATCTTCATGCCAGGAGCTCTCATTTGGTAGTTGCTGTCCTTTCCTGGAACAGACTTGAGCCCAACCCACAGGGGAAAGTCAAACCCAGCCAGAGCTGCTGCTGAGGCAAGTCTGTTCTAGATTAGTCGCCTTTCTCAACTAACCGGCGGGCACATGAGCAATAGTGAGTGTTGTTTTAAGTAACCGAGTTTTGGGGTGGTTTGTTATGCAGGATGAACTAACTGATACACCTTCCTTCAAGTGGGAACAGGTGATAAACAAAGATGCAATAGCCAGGGAACTGATCTATTTTCTGGGTTGGGTGGGAACAATGATTGGAGAAGCTCACAAAGGGGAGGTCAGAGAGAACTGTGGCTCTTGGTCCTGGAGCAAGTATCCTTCTCCATTGGGTTTTCACTTGGCCTCGCAAAGCACCAGTCTGAGACTCTGCAAGCTCTTTTGAGAGAACAAAAAATAGAGAATGATGACGAGGCCGTGGGTTCACATAAATATTCTAACAGAATCATTTTCCTCAAATGAAATGGAATGTGACTTGCTCTTTTCAATTATAGGAATAATAAACATTCTCTTTTCTTGATCAGCTTTCTTAACTACAGGCAATTGTTGTTAACTGTAAAATGCTTAACACGAACTCTATGTGCTGTCCCCATTACAGAACCATTAAGGCTGCAATCAGACAGTTATTGCCTATATTAGTTTTGAACTACTGAAGGGAGATTTGATTTATTTTTAAAAATTGCATACACAATCAACAGTTTTTTGGACCTCAACAAATGTTCTTTTAACAAAAACTATAATTTTAAATACTTTTCAAAAAGTGGTCTCATTAAACCTTATGCCAGACCATTTATTTAAACAAAATTTCAGTTGTGAGCTTATTGTCTTCTCTTTTCTCAGATAATTAATCAGATAACAGCTGATCTCTAAAATGGAGTTAGCAATTACCTTAAAAAATACATATTCTTTATTTTTTTTCCAGATCTGTCTGTCCCTCTTTGCCTATAGCTTCTCTGACTAGGTCCTTATGAGACCAGTAATGAGTTTGCTCAGATAAAACTGTTTTTCAAGTGGAACTTTTTACGTTGTCATTGATCACATTGCAGTGTAATTTGTTCTCACATGTGTTCCCTATAGACTGTGGACTCTTCCAGGGTCCGAATGACATTTTCTGTGTCCATGTCCCTAGTATCTCAGATGCTGCTCAGCACAGATGGGTGCTCAATGGATGCTGAATGGAATTGAATCACAGCAGTCAATTTTGAAGACCTTTGTTGAAAAGGAGCCCCTGCTGAATGATTCACTCACATCTGTACAAATTCAGGAGAAATTGTCACTGATTCCCATTTGCAGTAACCAAGGCGAGCGTAGGAGTGAAATACATGTGGTAAGCTTTGGCAATAGAATTGCAAGCTCATGAACTGGATATTTCCTCTGCTGTAAGTTATTTCTCAGTGTCCGACCTGACTGGTGAAGACATGGACCATAGATGGAAAGACCATGTGTCAGGGCTACAACATCAGGGCTGGAATGGACAGTGTCAGTATGCTTTCCTGTGTCCTGAATGCCTTCATACTGCCCACTGGCCTGGTCACTATTCCACCTTTATCCACCGAACTCAACTTCTAGTGCTGCCCTGAAGTGGTTTGTAATTACTTTAACCCCCTGATCTTGTCCTTCTCCGTCTGAATTCTTACAGAACTCAAATTAGGTCTTGATGAAATGCTGATTTTAGAGTCATTTAATGCTTGCTTTGTACCCACATACCTTCTTCTGACTAAATTAGATTATAGCAACTGTTTCTAGGTTTTTTTTTTTTTTTTTTGCATCTTCCATCAGTTGTCTGGGGAAGTGGTGTCAGCACAGGACTTGGGGTTGAACAGCCCACGTTCACCCCTAGACCTGAAACCTACCTAGATTTCCTGGAAGCTGAGGCTTATGGGAAGGGGAGGCCCTAAGTAAGATGGATGGAGAATATCTACGTCTGGGGAAGCCCAGATAAGGCGAGATCGCCCAGTGTTGGCATTGCAAGCTCCATGAGGCCTGGTGGCATGGCTCACAGACTAGTGTTTCTGTGCACATTGAGGCCAGAGTGCAAGGCAAGGCTCTACAGAGCTAAGCTTGGCCCACCAGGAGAATGGAGTACTCTCTGTGAGCTGCCAGCCCAACACTCACCGCATCCTTATCTCAGGTGGATCTCTGGGAGTAAATCAAAAGGGTCAGGGTGAGATGAGGTGGGGTAAGCAAAAAATCCCCAAACCTTGAATGAGCTGAACATCTTCCCATGCTAGGTGCAGGTGTGTTGATTGAGCAGGGCCTCAGAGGCCTCCTCTAGGACACAACCATTCTTTCTTTCCTGCTACCAATATAGAGGAAGATGGTGCTGTGCCTCAGAGGTGAATTGGCCCTTCTGAGCAGGGCTCTCAGACCCTGTTTGGGTGATTGTGCTGCCCAGAATGGACATAAAGGGCCTCTGGTGCTCATGGTGCCTGCTCTTGGTGGCCTGGAAGGCACAGTTTGAAAGTGGGGAAGATGGGAGAAGGTATAAAAGGGAAGAAAAAAAAGTTTTCTTATCCTTCCTTTCACCTAGGTCAATCTCTGTTGTATCAGTCAGGTTCTCCAGAGAAACAGAACCAATAGGATATACAGTTGACCCTTGAACAATAGGGATTAGGAGATCTGAAATCCACGTGGTTGAAATTCTTTTAACTCCTCAAAAACTTAACTATTGATAGCTTACTGTTGACCAAGAGCTTTACTGATAATAGTCAATTAACACGTATTACACTCAGTGTAAGACACTCAGCTAAGTGCTGAGCATGCTGTAGTCAGCAGTTTTCAAAAAACTCAGTCTAATCAGGGGATGAAATCTTTAAACAAATTAAAAACAAATAAACATATAAGTAGCAGTTGAGGTAAGAAAAATAAATGCCCCATGAGTGAGAAAATTATGGGAGAAAGTAATTAAATTTTTAAAATTATAGCAAGTGCTGATGGGTATGTGAAGGAAATGGAACTCATACATTGGTGGTTGGCATGTAAAATGATGCATACACTTTGGAAAACAATTTGGTCATCCCTCAGAAAGTTAAACATAAAGTAAACATTTGATCCAGCAATTCCATTTTTAGGTATATACCCAAGACAATATGTCTACACAAAATATGTTGACATATTGAAAATATGTCTACACAAAAACTTTTACAGACATGTTTATACCAACATTACACATAATAGCCAAAAAAGTAGAAACAATCCAAATGGCCATCAACTGGTGAATGAATAAACTAATATAGTAAATCTGTACAATAGAATCACTCATTCTTAGAAGGGAACTAAATACTGATACATGCTACTACATGGGTGGAACCTTGAAAACATTATGCTAAATGAAAGCAGCCAGACACAACAGTCTACACATTGTATAGTTCCATTTATGTAAAAAGTCCAGAGTAGGCAAATTCATGGAGATAGAAAGCATATTGATGTTTTCCCAGGGCTGAGTTGGGGAATGGGAAGTGACTGCTAATGTATGAGGCTTCTTTTTAGGGTGATAAAAGAGTTGCGGAATGAGATAGTGGTGATGGTTGCATAACTATATGAATATTCTGAGATGACTGAACTCTATATTTTAAAAGGGTGATTTTTATGTTATTTGAATCATATCTCAATAAAAACAATAATGAAATGTGAACCCACAAATCTACCACCCAGGTTGAGAAATAGGAAGTCACCAGTGGACAGTAAGACATGCAGACATGGAAATGACTGTCATGAAGGAAGAAATTTTTTATAATCACTGGTTCCTGGAAACAAGAGGCAAAGCACAGCATGCAGGGCCACATGGAGAAGCACCAGGGTCAGTCAGAAGATGGAGTGAGGAGAAAATGTGGGCAAGAGCTTGTGCTGTGGTTTCTGTGGGAAAAACAGGAGAAGCAGGGTAAGGAAGCTTAGGATAGGGTAGTTTCAATAATCTCACTTAGCTCTGTAACATAGCGGCTGTCTCCGCTTCTGGTATCTGACCTTCAGGTGATTAATGTGGGTGGATAGTGACCATCAAGTAAGAGAGCCCATAAAGGAAGTGGTTGGTGTGTGGGTTCTGGGTTGGTTGGTTTGTATTTGAAAGGTGCACTTACAGGTGAGTTGTTGCTATCAATAAATAGCTGGACCAGGGAGGTGCAGTCCCTCTGGGGTCAGCAAGAATGTCCAAACATCAGAAATACAGAAAATAAATGATTCATACCAGGGTCAGAGTGCCACTGCCAGCATTCTGAATGTAGAGCGCTGGGGGCCCCCACCTAACCATCTGTTTGGCCAAATATTTACATTCTCACTTGTGCCTGGCACCCCCACTCCAGCCTTCTGTTGAGGTATAGCTGGAGCAGTCCCCTGGGCATGGAGTGGAAAGGAGCTTCTGAACACTGTCATTAGCCCCAAAGTGCAGAGGGCTCTGGGGTTGCCAGTGCCAGAGAAAGTTGAGCGGTGGTGAGTGGGGTGGGGAGAGTGATCAACCTTGTTTTAAATTGCCCATTCATGGTGGTAATAACAGCAGACTGACTTTTAGTCAGTGTGATATTGTGATTTATAATAAGAAATATACATTTCTTTACTACCATTTGTGGCAGAGGGCTCCTAAACCCTTGTAGATTCCTAAGTGATAAAAGCACTAGGAGCATCTTTTGTTCTATTGAGATGATTCTAAGTGGGCTCCTGGACTCTTGAATGGGGGCTGGTCACCAGAAAGACCAAACCATGATTAGAGTTCTTCCTAAAGGTTCTCCTCCTCTTCTACTTCTCCAAAGAGGGGAGAGAGGCTAGAATCGGAGTTAAGAATTGATCATGTCTACAGGAGGAAATCTCCATGAAAATTCCAATAGCATGGGTTTTGAGGAGTTTCCAGGCTGGTGAACAGGTGGAAGTTCGGGGAGAACGGCCTGCCTGGAGAGGGCATGGAAACTCTGCACTCCTTCCCACATGCCTTGCCTTATGCATCTCTTCCACATGGATGTTCATGTGTATCTTTTATTATATCTTTTAATAAACTGGTAAACATAAGTAAGTGTTACCCTGTATTCTGTGAGTTGTTCTAGCAAATTAATTGATCCCAAGGAGGGGGTCATGGGAACCTCCCATCTATAGCTGGTTGGTTAGATGTGCGGGTAATAACCCGAGTTTGCGACTGGCTTATGAAATGGGGGAGGAATGGGTTGGCACAGTTTTGTGAGACTGAGATCTTACACTCTCTCCAGGTGGATAGTGTCAGAACTGAGTTAAATTTTAAGATACCCAAGTGGTATCACAGGGAATCGCTTGTTGTGGGGGAAAATCCCTATATATTTGGTGACCAAAAGTGTCAGAAGTAAGTGTTCTGTGTAAGTAGTAAAGGAGACTCATAGGAAGGAGAAAAACTGAGTTTTATTACTGTTTTAATTTTTCTACACATAGTACACTCTCTTATTGCCTGAAGCGGGGCCTCCCAGCTGAGCTGTGTACCAGGCCCCACCCCAGAGGGCCTTGGACATCCTGCTTCTCTCAGGAGAAGACAGAGTCCCAGGGACAGAGCCCAGAGGCTCAAGTGGAGCTGCCAGAAGGAGCCACCCTCCTGCCGGGAGGGGTCAAACGCCCCTACTCTCAGCCCTGCCTCCTCCCACACAGACCTCATCTTTGTATGAAAGGAAGCAACTCTAGGCAAAATGTGAATTAAAAACATGCCGCTGCTCCAGAAAAAAAATTAAAAATATATAGGCCCTTCAACTTGGTGTGCCTCTGGCTTTCAGGCTCCTGTGGCACTCTGGTGGTCGGGGAGGGGAGTCTCTTGTTTCTCCCTTACTGGCTTTCAATTTGATTGTCTCGGGTCTGCTAACTCAGGCGCCTTTGAATTTTTGCTCTCCACCTACCAAAGTTTAATTGCTGCTGTCTTTTCTCCCCTTCTCCCCATCTCTACAAATTTATGATTAAAAAAAAAAAAATCTTCGATATAGTTTTAATGGAGTTTCAGGAGGGAGCAAACTTAGATAAATGTATTTAATCCTCCATTGGAAACCAAAAGAACCTTTAGGAATTATTTTTTTTTATAAACATTCTCACTTCTCTAACTCTTCTCTGGAGCATTTTGAAGCAATAGATGCTAAGCTGGAAGGAATGCAGTGCATGAAGATTTTTTAATTTATGGCAATTGAAATTGCTTATTTATCAACTTGAATCCTGAGTGACCTGTTCACTAGATAAGCAGAGGGGTGGTGAGGCAGTTTACGTGCGGGAGGGCGGGATCTCCTGGGACCACAGGCCATGTGCTCAGAGCATTGCACATCTCAGAAAAAGGGAAGGTGGTCCTTTTTATTGGTCCTCAGAGAGCCCCACCATGCTCACCCTCTCCATTCTAACTCCCCTGTTGCCCTTGTCTACCATCAGCCTTTAAGGCATAAATTAGATCATATTTTACCCCTGCTTCAAACTCTCCAGTGCCTTCTAATTTCACTCCAAAATATCCAAATGTTCCACCATGAACCACACAGCTTTGTGTGAACTGGGCTCTGGCTCCCGCCATTCTCCTTCTTACTTCTCCTTATACATTGTGGACCAGGCATACTAGTTGTTCCTCCAAGAGGCCAAGGTTATCCCGCCTTAGGGCTCCTAACTCAGGGCTCCTGCACAAGCTGCCCTTGGCCAAGAGAGCTTTGCTATAGCTCCTTTTCTGGGCTGGCACCTCCACCCTCTTGCCTCAGGTTGAAGGTCTGTCCTGGTTGCCTTCTCCTTCCGGGTCACAGCCCCCTCTGGTGGTTCCTGCCTGCTGCATGTGAGGCCGGGCCCAGCCTGTGTGTTGGTGTCCCAGCTAACATCTGCCTACAAGAGTAAGGAAGCTACATCCAGATTGCAGCATCCACAGCTAGTGTGAAGGGGAGCTAACATGAGTCCATATATAGTGGATCAGCTCAGTCATCTATTAAATGAACTAAGTGTTGGCCCATAAAACTTTAGGGAGGACTCGTCAAAAGGCCTGGTGCAGCCCTTGGAAGGGCCACCTGGTGAAATGATTTAGGCACGTACAGTACTGGGCTTGAGCTCAAGCTCTGTCACTTCCTTGTGTTACAATGATCAAGTCATTAAACTTCTTTAAACCTCAGTTTCCTCACCTGTAAAATGGGGATAAAAAGAGCAATCATCTCACTGGGCTGTCGTGGCAGGCATTAGGGGCTGCACTGGTGATGCTCTGTGGCTGCTTCTGGTACATAGAAACCCAATACACAAGCGATCATTGACCCCAAAATTTTCAAGAAGGTACAGTTGGTGAGCACAGAGCTGTGGCCTGACCTGGCTGGTAGAAAATGTGTGTCAAGAACTGATGGTGGAGACAGGACTTGGGGAAGGCACACTGAATGTTCTAGAGCAGGAGCGCTAGGGAATAAGAGTTGAGTTTTAGTCCCCAGTGTTGGTTGGGGTTTCTAGAGAAGATGAGCTCAGGCACCAGATGTGCAGGTCACCAGCCACCAGGTACATTCCTTGACTCCACTTGAACACTTGTGGCCAGACTTTGCTTCCCCACTTAGACTGACCTTCAGAGACAGGCCTCTTTTCTGGGGCTGCTTGGCAGGTAAGTTTCTTAATGTACACAGAGAGCTGATGCTGGGTTTATGCACATCTCCCTGGTGGGTTCAGTTAACATGTCAGTCAGCTGGGACTCAATCAAAACAGCAGAACTAACTGCCGCAACCTTGGTGATATGGGTGTCTTGCTGGAGAAGTTGGTGGCCTTAGTCATAGAGCTAAAGCTACATTTGGACTGGAGAAGGATCCAGGAAGATGCAGCAGCCTCAGCCCAGCCGTGGATGCTGATGAGGTGAGTGAGCAAGTTAGTGACAATAGGTGGGTGCTGCCCCTCCCTTCTGAGTGTAAGCAACAAAATGGTCACTGCTGTGCTTCTGCTGTTCATATCTTGTGCAGGGTATCACCTGTGGCCCATCCTAACCAGAAGCACCAGGGAAAGGAATTCCAGGAAACAGAGGTCAGGCAAGCCAAGCTGACAGTCACCACAATTAGCAGGAAGCAGCCATTCAGGTGCACATTGAAATGCCTGCCGAGGAGACCATGTCTGTACCTGCACAGGTGTGAAGTCCTTGTGAAGTACCTGGGCTACTTGTCTATGAATGCTCTAGTGGTCAGCACTCAGCACCTGGTGCCTGGCTAAGGAGAGCCTGGAGCCACCATCAGTAACCAGGAGCACAGGAGAAGTGCCATGATGCTGGGCTGGGCCAATGGCACTCTGATTTTCAGAAAGGGGAATATTTTGGGCTGAATGTTTGTGTTCTCCCCAAATTCTTATGTTGAGATTCTAATCCCCAATGTGATGATATTAGGAGGCGGGGCCTTTGGGAGGTGATTAGGTCATGTGTGGGATTAGTGCCCTTGCTTTCTCTCTGCCATGTGAACACACAAGAAGACAGCTGTTCTTGAATCAGGAAGTGAGCTCTCACCAGATACAGGATCTGCTGACACCTTCATCTTGGATTTCCAGCCTCTAGAACTGTGAGAAATAAATGTTTGTTGTATAAGCCACCCAGACTATGGTATTCTGTTACAGCATCCTGAGCTGACTGAGACAGAGAAGGAGGCAGATTTCATATACACAGACCAGAGAGCTGTGGTGCATCCTTAGTGAGGCTGTAGAGTGGACAAATCAAACATTTAGGTGCATTCTGGGGGCTCTGGACAGGAAGAAAAACGTGTGCTGAGATAGGCATGAGGTGAGCGTGGGCTGGAGAGACTGGCCCAATCAGGAAGCTGCCAGCAGGGCAATTAAGAAACCCAGGGGAGTGTAGTAGACCTGGGTTAATGTGCAGACCCTAGAGCTGGAGGGAGGAGCAGGCACCTCTGTGCAGCAGCCACACTGAGCACTGGTGTCCCTCCTGGTTGACTGTGTGGTCTATTCCCTTAGAGATGTGAGGAGTGGACGGGGCAGCAGAAACTGGGTGAGAGGATTCAGAATAACGTTGTTGCCATGGTCAAAGCTGAGGCAGAGAGCTGGAGAAAAGACAAAATGCCTGTGACTCAAATAAAGAACAAAGCTACACTCCAGTAACTTTTGAGGCTGAGGGCTTGTTTACACAGAGATGGGGTTGGCCTTTTTCTAGCTTTATATGGCCATCACTTGACCCTGAGCAGCGAGATGGGCCTGGCTGCCTAACATCCTGCCATTTTCTCATAGCTGGATACCCCACCCACATTGGGAAGGAATTGAGATGTAGGAGTTTCTGTCCCATCCAAAACCAGGGTTCAAGTTTTTGTAGTCAGGTATCTTCCTCACTGTTCTCTGATCTTTTTGCATGAACGGTGACATCTGTTTGTATGACCAATGAATTCAAATAACTTATCAGTACAAAACAATCAGTAAAATTTATTCATTTATTTGTATTTCTCATTTATTCACTTACTCAAAAAATATTGAGTGAACATCTGTCAGGCCTGTTGTTGGTGACTAGGGACACAAGGGGAGGCAGGCAGGAAGGTTCCCACCACAGAGAGCCTGCATTTCACATTCTGCAGGGCAGACAGACAGCACCAAGTAGATCCACCCTTATTGCATTTCATTTGTGTCAGGTACAGGAGCAAAAGGTATTTCAGGAATGCTTTGTGTAGAAGGAGTCTGTTCTGATCTGGGGCTCACGGGGAGGACTTCCTAGAGAAAAGAAAGGTTAAGCTGAATGGGCAGAGAGGAAATGCGTGGCGAGAAATGAAAAATAGCCCAGCATGGCCAGAGCTTAGTCTAGCTCTTTGAGACATGAAAGCTGAGGCATCTAATAATGATAATGATAATATTAGCAAATTCTTATTGTTATAGGCTGAATCTTGCCCCACCTTCCCCTCCCCGCCATCCAATCCATATGTTTAAGCCCTATCCTCCAGTATCTCAGAATGCAACTGTACTTGGAGGTAGGTTTTTAAAAAAGTAGTTAAGTAAAATGAGATCACTAGGTAGGCACTAATCTAATATCACTGGTGTCCTTATAAAAAAAAGGAGAATATCAGGACACAGATATGCACAGAGGAAAGATACCGGGAGAAAATGGCCATTTGCAAGCCAAGAAAAGAGATCATGAAAGGAACCAACCTTGACAATGCTCGAACTTCTAAGCTCCAGAAGTGTGAGGAAATAAATGTCTATTGTTTAAGCTGCCCAGTCTTGGTATTTTGTTACACTGGCCTTAGCTGACGAATACACTTACTAAGTGCCAGTTATTGGTCTAAGTCCTTTATCCATATGACCTTATTTTTTCATGCCAACTCCAAGAAGCAGATGCCACCACTCTCCCCATTGGGCTGATGAAGACATCAAGGAACAGGGGTAAGAACAGAAATCATTTATACCCACAGCTTACTGTGGGTATTACTGTGACTACTGTGGGACATTCAGCACTGATATGACTTTACTACTACAGGACATGCTTGCTCAGGAAGACGAAGTTGCAAATAACTTTCTGGTTTGTTTTAGAAACTTCCTGAAAATCCATTTATCTGGGCAATAGACTACCCAACTTTCCTTCAAAAGTGTAAATAAATAGCCCCATCTAAAAATATATTGGATGCACTAAATGACTATTTATACTCCAAGGACTTGTTTCACAGCCCCCTCCTTGCTGTATCCACCAATCCTATTAGTATTATGAATTTTGCTCCATGCCATTGAGGGCCCTGCATTGAAATATCTATGTTCAGAACCAGCCCACCCAAACCTTATAAATATCCCACTTTTGCCTTTCCCCTCTGACACTACTCTAGAAGCCTGTGGCTTCCCTCAGTGCAGGGAGCAACAAACCTGACTTTGCTTGATCAACAGGGTACTTTGGCTGTCCCTTTGGGGAGTTGGCAGTCAGCAGTAACTTGTCTGGGATCACACAGCTAGTGAGTGATGGAACCAGGATGGGACCCTCCTAACCTGGCTACAGCATCTGTGCCTGCAACTTCAGTTCCTGAGAGTCAATCAGAGGAAGCTCACAGTCCCCAAGTCCATTAATATCTGCCCAGTCCTTCCTGGGTGAGCAGTTAGCTTCTTGGAGACAGCCATCCCATTGTTAGGGAGCCAGTGGGGGATGCTTAGTGGTATAGAAGAAATGAGGACTCTAGGTTGACACAGACCCAGCTCATTCATTGACCAGCTGTGTGACTTTGAGCAGGTGACCCAACCTTGCTGAACTTTCAATTTCCCATCCTCAAAATGGGGATAATGGGCCACAGCTCACATGGTCATGGTAAAGATTGAAAGGGGTAATGTTGATCAGGTGTTTGGCACATGATAATCTTCCAATAAATCATATATTCAATACTTATATGATACTTGCTTTTTAGTTTGCTTTCTCTCTCTCCCACCATTTAACTTGCTGCTTCAACAAGCATAGACTGGTTCTCACAAGTTAGAAATTCTAGAACTTTAAGCAAACCCTTCTTCCCAGAGTCATTTCATCCCTTTAACCTTTGTCCTCAAGTCAGTGGAGTTAAAGTAACTCCAGAAACATACCTAGGGCCATTTTGGGCTTGAGGTTCTTTGTTTCTATAG